GATTTTGAACGCGATTTTGTGTAGCTTGTCAGTGATCTACGGCTCTGTGTAGTAGGGGTGGGAATCACCAGAGGCCTCACGATTAGGGTTGTCACGATTATGAACTTTGGCTGACAATTAATTGTCTAAAAATAGTCACGGTTATTGCGATTAATTGTCTGTTTTAGGGCTTTGAGATACTGTTTTCTGTGATCGGCCACAAAAATCCTGATCGTAGCACCGCTAACAAATAGCTACATAACACACAAAAGAAAAGGAAAAATAGAAATCGCATCATATGACCCCTTTGAATCATAACACACAGAATCCACAAAAATTAAAACAGACAACAGAATTTCTGAAAAAAAAACAAAAAAAAACATTTAATAGGGCATTATTATTGTTACATTCAATTTACTGTTAAACTGTTCATATTTTATTAATTCAATTCATTAGACATCCTTTCTGATTATTCAAATTTTAGAATTCATAGGATTTCCTACAACAGGAAGTGGCAGTACCTGAGTCAGCTGAGCCTGGTTGACCTGTGGCTCTCTGCGTGCTGCAGAGTTGCTTCCCTCCTCTGTAGAGCCTCCAGCAGTGCTGCCATTGGCACCTCCAGACACTCCTTCTCCAACTACTCCCCCTGTTCCTGAAGGCCCGCTAGCTCCTCCACCACTTGCGGAACTGCTCTCCTCATCAGGCCGAGCAGTGCCCTCCCTCTCTTTGGAGAGCCGCTCCTGGATGATAGGTTCTCCTCGTAGGATGTGGCACAGAATGGCCAGCATAGACTCAGCCATGCGTCCACCATAGACCTTCAAGGGCTTACGGTTCCACAGGTTACGGATACAGCTGAATGCAGCCTACAAAAAGAGATGGAAAAATTAGAACTGTGCTGCTTCGCTATAATAATGCAAGGGTATTTATATAATTTATACTAACATTAAATGTCATACCTTCTGGGTGACAATGAGAAAGCGCAATGCGCTGAACTGTGGCGTGTTAAGTGTTGCACCAGGCACTTTAGCGGGCAGAGAGTGTGGGGAGTCCAGAACTGTGCTGGGGTTCACCATCTTCTCTACTAGCATCAACCAGGCGTCTAGGAATTCTCCTGTCCCATCAGGCAGCTCAAGGTGTTCCAAGCCCTCCGACACGGGCACTTTACCTCCCATGGACAGGGCCCAGTTAAACGTCCTAATGAATACAAAGCATTTTTACTTCTTGTAATAAGTATAATACTACAGAAAGTCAAAACAGCATAATTACTGAAAAACGAATCTTTTTTTAAATTCAGTTAAGTTATAAATAACTTATTTTTTCAACTCTTCTCTACTCACTCAAACAAAGCATCATGGCCACCAGAACAGAAGAACTTCTGCAGCATCAGATGGTACGGATACTTCCTCTCATCAAACAGCATGGGTGAAGTGAAGCCCACAGAGCAGATAAAGAAAGTCAGCCTGATTATGAAAGAGAAGCACATAAATAGCCTCATTATAAATTAGCCTCATACACCTCCAGGAAATACAAGTCTCAGGCTTCAGGGAAGTCCGTTTACACTGGACTATGTGATGGAAATATTGTATGCAATGGCCTCAGGAGTCAAAAGGGTATGTTCAAATTGGATGTTCAGAAAAGTGCACACTAAGGATGCTCAGATCAAAGACCATGTCTCTATGATTAAATAATCTATACTTACCCAAAAAGTGCTTAAAACAGTAGAACTAACAGTTAGGGCTGTGCAAAAAAAATCGAATGCGATGAATCGCCTACGATTTTGAAAAATGTATTGTTCATTGTTCGTTCACGATAGTTAATACATTAACTAACATGAACTAATGGAAACTTATTGAAAAGTGTTACCTTAATATTAAATATCAATATATTTTTATTCACTTCTATGTAACAGAATCAGATATAAGTTTTGTTTTTTTTGACTAATTATCCAAATAATGTGTAGTCCTACAAAGCTATTATTATCAGAGCATATGAGCAGAGCATAGCATAGCGTCACTGAAGGAAGCATTATTTTACCAGCGTTGCCCAGTACAGCTGAACTAGCCTACACCATGTTACAGCACAGTAGCGCTACTGCAAACCGGAACAAGTAGGCCTATACTGCATAGAAATTTTCTGTCAGCGCGTTATTTGAGCGGACTTTGCTTTTCCGATGAGCATGAGCGGTACACGAGTGGAACGCACATTCATAGATCGGAATATTAAGCGGAGCGTCAAACCACGCAGTGACGAGCAGAGTGAAACATGCGCACTGAACACTGCCGGGCGGGGCGCGACGCGACATATATATTATTATTACTATTATATGTAGCCTATATTTTCGGTGCATCCCTACTTACATCCCCTCCTTGTTTACAAATCCAAAGTAAGTCCATACATCTGATTTAAACTTTTTTAAACGGGGCTTTCCTGATGAATTTCCGCGAGATGCCGCCCTCTTTATTTTACTAACTTACTGCATGCTAAAGGTGACCCAGCTGACCTCACTAGAAAAAAACTCAACACCACCATCTAGTGGATTGTAAAGAAATTATAACAGTTAGGGCTGTGCAAAAAAAATCGAATGCGATGAATCGCCTACGATTTTGAACGCGATTTTGTGTAGCTTGTCAGTGATCTACGGCTCTGTGTAGTAGGGGCCGCATTCGATTTTTTGCCCAGCCCTAATTGGAGATCTGCTTAACTGAAAGAAACAAAAAAGGTAGTTTGCTACCTTTTAACAGGTCCCACAAAACATAAATATCTATAAGATAATACCAGCAATTTAAGTTCACATTTATAAAGGTGGACAAGTTCACACTCTTTCACTCATCTATCAACAATCTTCTTTTGACAAGAGCGATGAACATAAAAGCAGTCTGAGCCGGTTGAGTATTCCAAATTGGCCAATACCGATCCAACACCAGCGCCATTTTTTTTCTACACCACTACAGAATATCCAGAATATCATTGTGGAACTAATGGTCACTTTTTTTAAACCCTTTGTTAAACGCAATCCACTAAATACTCACTTCCTCATTACAGAGAAAA